ATTTATATCCATTCACACCCATTTGTGTAACCATCTTGTAATCTAATTGGTCTATTACAGCGAAATAATTTGCAGTGATTAGATCATCCCAATCCTCATTTATTTCATCACTTATGTTCTCTCTTCATGCAAATCAACTGTTCCTGTTAGCATTTGACTTTCATAAGCAGAACAAGCTGATGTCCTTCCTGCTAGTGAGTAAATCTCACTCATCATAGCATTAACCAGTGAAGCTCTTTCCAGACTGTCTCAACACTGACAATGAATGGTATAGTTTCTAGTTAATTAAAAAGTAATTTCTTATGTTTGTAGGGAAATCATTCTTGTAAATATTATTGTGATGAATTATTTTAATACATTTATTTTTCAAGAAAGCCACAGAGCACAGACACAGTCTGGATGGTTAGTTCGAGACTGAGAACAAAAACATTTAAAATACACAAATGAAGCAATAGTTAACTAGAAAACTGAAAGATTTTACTCACGATTTTATTGCATTTATTACAGCATATCACAAATTTGGTTTATTCTCAGCTGTTCAATAAAACAACAAATGCTGGTGATGATCCTTGCTAATTGATTATTAACTCCTGTTGTTTATTTCAATCAGTCTTAAAGGGATGATTCATCATTTTTGAAGTGAGGCTCTGATATAAGGTTATACGCAGTAACGGTGCACTGTATTGGATTTCTTAAATTTCTGAAGAGCAGAACAAAAGAAATACTGCCTAAACTTGGAATTTCAGCTGGAAAATTTAGAGGTCACCAAACAGCCCCAAGTTCACCACCCAATGTTGCTCATGTACATATAAAACACAGTGAAAGCTGCAGATATAAACTATTATTGCCAGTGGCAAACAAATCTATTTGTAAACATGTTTCCTTAGCGTTCGGACACATAAAAATGGAATTTTAGTAAATTATCAACTTGCATAGCTATAACTAGTTAGCAAAACGGTTAGCAAATCTAACTATGTTTTTATTAGCAACCAGAATGTGCTCATCATTCCCAAATCTGACCTCCGACAAATTGAGACAAATTGAGACAAATTGAGACAAATTGAGACAAATGTAACCCTTGCTAAATATCTTGCCTGCAATAGATAACTGTCATTGTGTCTTTATATAACAGAAATTCTAATTATTTGGATCTGGAAGCATTGTTCTTGTTTGTGTTGAGTTGTTATTTATAGAGAACAGAATGATTATTTACACCGGAAAGGGAGGAGTGGTTTACCAAGAATCTTCACGTTTTCAACAAATACTGAGAAAAGAACCCATGAAGGATTTCTGGTCAGAGGAAATGTTTCTATAAACATAAAGAGATGTAAAAAGGCAAAAAATATGATAGCATACATTTTATGGGCCTGATAGAACACATAAAGTGTTCTCGGTCAGACAAATTGCCTTATAGAAAAGTAAAGCAGTGTAAACTCTAAAAAAGAATTCTCTTAAAACATAGCTTTACTTTTATGTCAGAATTACTCTGAGATAAAATGCTCTACATCTTCAGTTTTCAGTATGTGTTTCAGGAAGATCATTGGTGGTGCTCCTCCATTTCCTGAAAAAACAATCACTGACTTCTGCTTCACATCACAACAGTTTAAAGGTGTACCAAATAGCTTGCATAAACTGCTATGCCTTTTTTAAGAAAAGAGTTGTTTTAATACAATAGAAGTACACTTGGCCCTGCTAGTGGTTCCCATTATCAAACCTGCATTTACACTAAACCAAGACATAAAGGTAATCTAATGCAGGTGAAAAACCCTGAAAGACATGAAAGAGGGGGATCTCCAAGAGGGTGAAGGGCAGGCAAAAAGGTACATGCTGACAAAGTCCAGGGTCAACTCTTCCCGAAGGGTGGGGGGGGGGGGGGGGGGGGGGGGGGGGGGGGGGGGGGGGGGGGGGGGGGGGGGGGGGGGGGGGGG